CAAAGAAATTTATCTAATCGTACGGCTGATAATCTCAAATGTTAGTTGGGAATACGTCTGTAAGAATATACCTGAAACGAATTCACACCTTTAAGAACTTCGGTAACATTGAGTAAGATAAGTTATCGCTTTCGTGATTATGTGAACGCAAATGACCATGGAAGAAGGTATTGGATTTGTTGTGGAAAATTCCCAAAAAATAAAGAACAACATTTTCTGTAACTTCTTAAAATTATTGAGCTTTGTATTTTTTTTTACTTGATACAATTAAGTATACTAAAAATATATAAAGTAACTTTTAGATAATGAATTTTATTCATTTGTGATTTCCTTAAAATTAACATTTAATTCAATTTGTCTTGAATATTGGGTTGTCATATGTAAAATAAAAATTAATATGTTTGTTATACTAATACAAATGTTACTATATCAACATTTTTTTACTTTACTTACACAGATTTTGATTGGATTAATATAAATTGTTAAATGTCAAAAAATATACAAAAAAAAATGTAGTTTTGAAGTTGATACATTTTACCAACCATAAATATTATCAAAAATAAAAGTTTTCAAACGTCAAATAAAAATATTAGTATAATATTGATGGATAACAATTACAAAAAACTATTGACTATAAGTCTATAATAAATATTTGCTATATATTTTTATTTGCTAAATGTTTGTAAAAAGATTGTAAATATTATAAGACAGTAAATATTAAATTAAAAAAAAGTTAATACGATTTTGGATGATAGCCCAGAAACTATTATTATATACAAAAATCATATTTTTTACTAAAATAATTACAAATCGTTTTTCCAGAACCCATTAATAAAAATGTGCTAAAACTAACCTTTAAATTGTGCATTGTATTTAAATTTGATTAACTATAACGATTTGTAACTTATGTATTTATTTCATTATCAAGGATAAACAAACCAGTTGATATTCAATTAAATCTATATTATTTTTGTTAAAAATATAATTTATAAGTTTGGATATATTTTATCATATATATTAAGGTAATTATTCTAACTAAATTTAGAAGTTATGATTATAAAATTGTTAATTTGAAGTGAATTTATTAAGTTAATTGTTTTACTGACATTGGTGTCAAAATGTCTTTTGTTTTGTAATAAAATTAATTCAATTTATTTTAAATTAATATTAAATGAGATTTATTTATTTAATACATTGTAGGAGTTAATTCCCAGAATATTAAATATATTTGAAATCATAACTTAAAAACGTCAAATTGACGTAAATCTTGTGTTAAATAAATATTATGTTTATTAGATGAAGTATAATAGTTTGTAAATGATACCAACATGATTCTTTCAAAAACATAAACATTGATATTTGAGATTCAGGATTGGTATATTATTGAGTTAGCATTAAGGAAGATCCATGTATTCTGCTAAATTGATGGATTAGTAAAACGGAAGATGTGTGTTGAATTAGATTAGACTCTGGGGTTGGTTCGAGGCTTACGGCCGTTGTTGTGACAGCTTTGACACAAATGTCACTTTATCGAACGCAATCAGCGGAAATGCGATAAACAAAACGTCGCATGTATGGAGAAATAAAATATTAGCAAAAAAAAATGCACGAAAAATAAAATAAATAATAACGTGGAAAAGTAAATAAGTGCGACAGTTTTCAAGACGCGCGTCGCTGCAGATTATTTATGTAAACAAAAACATTGCGAAAGGTGGTGGCCACCAAAGTCACACGGCGGATTACGTAAAAATGAAGCCGTGAGATCTCTAGAGAAAGAACGCAAGAAAATTACATAATTATAATAGTAAACGAAATGGGGAGTTTTGTTGACTCACTTCTCTGTTAGGTATTGGGTGGTCCAGTCGATGATACCTCCGACGACCTCCAAGTTGATGAACTTGTAACTGCCCAATTTAACAGGTAGTTGTTCGTTGGGGTTAACAGTTTGGGCGAAGGCCTCGAAGAACTGCCGGTACTCGGTCAAATAATCATCCCTGTTGGCCATGGCTTATGAACCACTGACGATCTTCTTCTGTTTGGGATTACAGCACTCGCACTCGTATCGAAGGGTCTCTTTTTCTGATTGATGATATCACAGCACGGGTGGTAAAACAATTGAACACACTTTGAACTTGCTTCGTTGTTTTTGTTTATTGTTGCTTGATACTAAAATAACGCTCTGTTGTCTAACGCTTAGCAAAAAATATACTAGCTTTTTAATATGTACAATAGAAATATATCTAATATTGTTGTCTGGCAACAATATATATATTAATTTGATATCACACTGATATGTTTATTTGTACTCTGGGATATATTTGAAAAAATAAATAAATATAGTATAACATGTAAGCAATTTGTTTTTAGTCCGTGTCATTCGCATACGAAGCGGGACTCGGTGTGCATCTCCTGCGCTTTGACTCGTTGTCACTCTCTATCTCTATTCCACCCGTGCACAGGTCTCTCGATAATACAGCGTTATGTATGTATGTATTGAAGGAAAGAATATTGTATATGGTACGAATGTCAAAATGAGTCACAAACAGTCGCCGTAATCGAGCAACGCACACTACAGGCCAGATTTCGCGTTCCTACTGGCACAGCGGTTTTTTGTTGTATCCTATCCGTTTCCCCCTTACTCTCGGACTCGGGGGAATTCCTATGCCAACCGAGAAAAACGAAATGTTCCTAACAACTCTTATACGCTTCGATTTCGTGCACTGTCCATTTGCGATTGATATATTCTATCAGACAGTTTTTTTTTTAATTGTCTGCCCTGTATTTAGGTATTCGCAATGAATCGATTATTGTTGTGAGCAGGTGGGGTCGGCAACCTGCCACTTCGATTCCGTTTGATCCATGCCCCAACAGCTGATGCAGTCATCATCCAGAGTCGACGACGTTCCACGAAGAGGAGGAAGAAGAAGAAGACCCATTGTCTGGCACCACTATATTATTTAATTCATGTATACATACTATTGGCATTTGGTCGAGCCATATGTTCTAATGCCGTTATCTCTTCCGTGCGAAAAATATTAATTTACCACTTATCCCTTCTATCCTCAACTAACAACCAACAATAAAACACTCTTCGCAATAACCGTCCCATTATAATGTTACAAAATAACTATTTTTTATGGTATTTCAATCTACATTAATACTTAAGTACTATTAGTTTATTTGTAAGATTTGTTTTGAGATTATATTTCAATGTTCTAGTGTTATGATTTCTTTGTATTAAATTGTTTTTTTTTGCTTATTGGATATTTATATAATCTTGTGTTTTTATTATAGGCTGTTGGCTTCTCTTATGTAAAAATCTGTATATTATATAGAGTTTATTACATACATAACAGTTTTGTATATTTTCTTAACAAATTAATCAAACATAAGAGTAAACAACGTAATATCTTTTGTAATATCTATTATGTTCTCAAATGTCGTTACTCTAATTTATGTTTATTGTTCGCAAAGAGATATTTTTTACTAAAATCTAAATAATACATAGAATTCTAGTCAAATCCCAAATTGTTAAATACTGGTTGGGAAAAGCATTAATTATTTACCTCTTGATGTTTTATCTAGATTAATTCAAAATAAATACTAACATTTTGAAGATTACAAAGTTTATGTTAATAAGGTAAGTTTTCCTGTAAAGATTCGTGTTTACTAATAATGTAAATAATGTAGAGAATTAGATTATGTTTCATTAAATTAATAAATTTGCCCTAAATAACTAAACAATATGAAACGTTTTGTAATTTCTGATATGTTATCAAATGTTTTTACTATAATTTATGTTAAAAAGTTTATTGTTTGTATAAAGATATTTTTACTAAAAATCTATATAATACAGAGAAAATGTAACCATTATAGTCGAAAATCAAATTGTTAAATACTAGTTGAAAAAAAATATAATTGTTTAATTCTTGATGTTTTATCAAGATTAATACAAAATAAATACCAAAATTTTGTAGATTACAAAGTTTATGTGAAAAAGATTAGTTGTCCTCTAAAGATTCGTGTTTCGTTGTTACTCTAATTTATGTTAGAAAGTTTATTGTTGGTATAAAGATATTTTATTTTTATTCTTTTTATTCTATTGTTAAATAATGACTAGGAAAAGCAGCAGTTCTTTAGTTGTTGATGTGCTATCCAGATTAATCCAACATAAATGGACATTTTTGTAGACTACATTACATGGTTTATACTAAAAACTTTATTTTCCTTCTAAAGATTTGTGTTTATTAACATAATTATTTCAAAAACATAAACAAAACATAGAAATATGAGGTTCAGCTTTAGTTCTTAATATTTTAACTAGATTAGTACAAAATAAATACCAAAATTTTGAAAATTTATGTTAGAAAGTTTATTTTTCCTTTAAAGATTTGTATTTACTAAAAATGTATATAATACTGAGAAAATGTTACAATTCTTGTGAAATCCAAATCCATTAAATTTAATACAAATTTATTTTAACTTTACAATCATGAGATTCCAAAAAAATATGATATTATTTTTGACTTAATGCCAATGCCAAATATATTTGGATACATATATCAATTTTATATTATTTTGCAATTGAAAAATTAAATATTAGCATTTTGTTACCAATATTACTGAAATATATACAAACAAACTTTTAAATATCCATAATTTAAATAAAAGTCTAAATATAGCTAAAAATTTAATTAAACATGGATTTTTTTTAATTTTCTACTTCTTAAATTTATATGTTAGCATACTGACTTCTTGGAAGTTATGTAACAGTTTTATTATGAACAAATAATCCCTACTGATGTAGACCTCATGGTACGTTAGTAATTGATAGATTAGTATCGATCTAGAATTTTAATATTGAGATTGCTTATTGAAACGTATTCTATACAATTACATAAGTTTTATGAATGACTTTACAAATAAGTAGAGTTTCTTCATTCACATTTAACATACATCTTTAAATGTAAATCTGAATTTTTGTGTCAATTTCACCATTATTAGCAAAAAAAAATCATCTTTATCACAAACTAAATAACTTGATTACATTGTTTTAATAAAACTATTTATGAGTTTACATTCTGTATAATTTAAATCTTTGTTTTATTTTGTAATAACATCTATAGTATTATGTCATAACATAAATTGTTGCTATGACAATTATGACAAAGCTTTACTGTCAATAGATCAAATATTTAAGATAAATCCGAACAAGACACAATTTGAAAAAAATAAATTTAAAAAATGTCCAATATGACAAACTTCAACAAAAACATTACGAAATATAGTAAAAAAACAATATAATTATTAATTTGACAGCAGCTGCCACGATAATATAATTAACAGATATTTGTTACAAAAAAATGATAAAATTAGAAGAACAATTATAAAGAGAAAAACAGATACACATGCCATATGTTTCATTGTTGTTATCTATTACGTGTATAAAAAATAATCTTGTTCAAGCACAGTCATCTAATGAACTAGCACATAGTATAAACAAATATATTATTATATTGAGTGCGCACAATATTTGCATTTCAATGTCAGATTTTGAAAAATAATATACATTTCGCAAATTACAAATTTGCTTAATTAGTCTATTTAAATACACTCAAGTGGACAGGAAGTGGACAACACTCAAATATTGTTTAATATACTTAGTAATTCCAGATCCGTTTATCTTCGAAATTAGCACAACGACAGTTATCATTTAAATTGATAGCTCATGAATAAATATGTGAAAAATTGTAGTGTTAACTGTAATCATTATCCTGTTCTATTCTTATATAAGTATCAAAATAATTACAATTGAATTAACGGTAATGAAAGAAATATAAAAAAAACTATTGCGTCTTTCCTATTTCTTTTCTAAACAAATTGCATAATAGAATTGTCGTCATATGTTTGAAATACACGTAAATAAAATACAAGTGCGGCGTTAAAAGAATCATGTGTGTGTACATCCTGTGGTATGGTTTCGGTAAAAACCACATAGTTTCCCATTAACTAAGAACCAGTTTTTTTTTTTAAATAGAAATTAAACTATTTTGTAATATTAATTTAATCATAATATCTAATTAAAATTAATTGAATCGAAATTAAACTATTATTTTAAAAGAAATATGTTTGAAACTAGTTATTTTAAATTACAGTTTTAGGTGAGGGTATCATTATTTTCATGAGTTCAAATTCCTCTTTATAGCGACAACAGTGAACTGCGTTACAATATCAACATGTTCGCTGCATGTAAATAAAACAAACACACGATGCAAGCAAACAATACACTTAGTTTATACTTGTTTAGTCTAACTCTCACGTTGACATTCCTAGAATTGCTTTTTTTTTATTAAAATTTAATATCATTTTTAACATATTAAGTAATCGTCGTATTAATGTATAAATTAACTAATTAGAAATAGATGAGGAGGAAACATGTGCTTTAATTCCGCGTTTCTCAATGTTTTTCATTCATAGACTAACATATTTGTTTGAAATTGGACAGCAATTGTTTAGAATACAAATAAATTCGCTTTGACTTAAGGTGACAGCAGTCATTTTCGGACTCATTAAGATTTTTTAATTGAATTTAAATTTGTTAACTAATTCTGGATGACATTCAACTATTTTATAATAAAAATTAAGTTATAAAGTATAAGTTTATTGATGATAAAGTTAAATTTTCTCTTTATTACTGAAGTGTACAAATCATCTCTTCTGATGAAAACTTCGACAAAAGGTGACAACTGTCATTTTGCGACACATTAAGATTTTTTAATTGAATTTAAATTTGTTTACTAATTCTCGATAACATTCAACTATTTTATAAAAAAAATAAGTGGTTAAGTATAAGTTTATTGATGATAAAAGTTAAATTTACTCTTTATTACTGAAGTGTACAAAACATCTATTTATTTTTAACAAGATAAAATTACAAAAAAATATTGTGATCTATTTAGAAAAAAATCATCTTTTCTGATGATTATTTTGACATAAGGCGACAGCTGACATTTTGCAACAAATTAAGATTTTTTAATTGATTTTAGGTTATTAACTAATTCTCGATAACATTCAAATATTTTATAAAAAAAAATAAGTTATTAAGTATAAGTTTATTGATGATAAAGTTATGACAAAAGTTAAATTTGCTCTTTATTACTGAAGTGTAAAAAAAAATTATTTATTTTTAAATAAGTTAAAATTACAAAAAATATTGTAATCTATTTAGAAAAAATCATTTCTTCTGTTGAAAATTTATAACGTCTGCTACAGGGTTGAAGAAATACATTTTTTTTTATAGAAAATTAAGTTTATTATTATAATTTTAATAGTGTACGAACAATTGTTACATATTATGGAAATGCGATTAAATAATATGGGAAACTATGGGGTTCAGGAAATGTAATTTTGAAAGTGGGGTGTAGCTAACAAGGGCAGTATCAGACATCCGGTAACAATGGGGTGACGTCAGCCGGGAAAACCTCCCCCTTTTACAATTATTTTGGGGGAAAATTACTAATGAATGTTCATTTTGAAATATTCCCAGATGGATGAAGGAAATATCTTTATATAGCATCACAGAATAGCATAGGCATTCCTTCATTCAAAAGAAGAAATACAAATAGTTTTAATCAAGAAACAAATAATCTATTATTTTCTTTTGTAAAATATTGGATTTTCTGTATGTGATCCTCATCTATAATAAGATGAGGATCACGGTTTAAGATAGTTAAACAAAGTTTGTTTTACAAAGTATTTTGAATGGGTGATTACAGATCATAGAATTATCTATGTAAATAGTGTTAATTGGAACAAAAATAAAATTTATTACCTACCATATGCCTGATTTATCGTTTAAAATGTAAGGGTGCATTTTTAAATAGGCAAACATATATGACAATACTAATGTATGAAAAGATCACCCCTTCATACTTATGCACATTTGTAAATGTATTGATTTTTAGATATGTATAATATATTAAGATTAAATACTATACAAAAGAGATCAACAACATTTTATTTTACAATTACAAATTTAAAAACTTCCTGTTCCATGTATTAAAATATCAACACTAGAGATGATAAACACGAATTATAAAAATTTAATGGCCTTTTTTTGTAATTTAGCAAGTCAAAAAGTAAAGTTTTAACCGCATGAAAAAGTATAACTTGCTTTTCCTCCTATGCACCATACTGTATGTTTCTATATGGTTCTAAAGTTCTTCAATAGTACGGTTTGAGATAGTCCGTACTTGGCAAATTTATAAACTAATTAGACAAAAATTTTGTTAATTTTGTGGAAAATAACTTTTTCGTTTTAGTTTAAAACTTGACAGTTCGTAATATATTAATGATTTGACTTGTTTATTGACGGTGATTTTATTTGTTTTTACTTGATTTTGATTCTAGCAGCTAAACAAATTCAGCTACAAATCAAAGAAATTACTTATTTTTTGGACCATAAGACGCACTTTTTTAACCACTTTTCCTAACCTATATCAACTTAACCTAACATAACTTAACCTTTATGTACTTGAAATGTCCATGTATTACTCGCGCGGTGTATTTTATGCACATATGTCAGAATGCATAAATGATGTTATTACGTTTTCATATTATCTAATGCTTTTTTATAGAAATCTATTGAAGCTCATAATTTAACAAAATGTATACGATTCTGTTTCTAATAATCTGTTCTAATCTGTTCCCAGATAACAATAACAAGACTAATAGTTTCTATGTTTGTGTCATTGCAGAGTAAGAAAAACGTGCAGAAAACAACTTATTTGTGCCGCAGTCAACACAATACTGCACCAGCGTTTATTAAACACTCTGGGCATAAGTTACGTTAAGTGTCAAAGATGGGGAAAAGATAATATAGATGTGGTATCATTTCTTAGAACATTGGTGCACTTTTTAAGTAGTTAACCTCATTAAATAATATAATTATCAAATATATGCATTAGATTAGTTGGAGCCTATGGGAAAATTAAATTTGGGAGCCACCAAATCCTGGGGCCTCTAGGAACATGCGTAATTGCTTTAATGGATTATCCTATTGAACTAATAGCAAATTTTAGTCAAATAATTTCTTCTGAATTAAAAAAAATTTTAGCTTATTTTAATAATATTCAGTTTGTTTAAGTTTACACTTAGCCATAACATAAACATGTACAAAACAAACTCAAATCCATTTTAAAGAGAACAATATTTATTCACCATTGCAGAAAGGTCAGTGACCAAAACTTCTCGTTTTAATAATCTGGAATTTATATATTATTTCCCATTTCAAATTGTTTAAATATAATCCAATATAATTCTAACATTTCTTTACATTCACATATTTTTTAAAAGTTGAAAAGTGATTTAATTTTCAACTGACGATAAAAAATAATTGCAAATATCAAATCATCTACGTTCTGGTAGTGTGAAGCTCATTCTATTTTCAATAACTCGAGCGATTTAACACAGGAGGTATAATTTATTTTACGGTATGTTTTTGATGGTAACTGCACAAACGGTACTTTGGATACTTTCTGATATAGCGGATATAAATTATTTACTAAATAATAAAAAAAACATTCAAATTTGTTGCAATTTATTCTATTTTTTATCGTTTTATCGTATACACCGGAAAATTTCAAAAGAAAATAAATTTTGTTTGAGAAAAGTTAAAATAAATAGTACACAAAATTATCTTCAATACAGTTCCTCGATTAGTCCGGTTTCAAACAGTTTGACGGAATCGATAATCCGCACTATGCAAGGATATGTTGTATTATTATTTTACCACTTTGGGTTATATTCATATTTCACACAAAATTTTCTTCAATACAGTTCCTCGATTAGTGCGGTTTCAACAGTCTGGCGGAATCGATTATCCGCAATATGCGAGGCATTGCTGTATTATTATTTTACCACTTTGAGGTATATTCTCTTTAGTTATGATTTTTAAAGTTTATTACTTTATAATAAAATCTAATTAAAAAGTGAATGTAAGAATCTCCGCAAGTGTATTTTAAAGTAAATACAAAGAACAGGTATCCCCCCACTTACGAACTCCCGGACATATGAACAAAATTCTAAAAGTTCTAACTTGTTGCAAGGAGATATAAAAATTGATAATTTCTCTAACAAAATATAATATTTTTCTGTAATGTACTATCTGTTTTGTTGCATTTGGTTCTTTTGCAGTTTTTTATTAAATAATTGTGATGTCTACATTGAAAAGTATATTGTTTATTTTGATTTATTTTTTCAAATTTATGCAGTCAGTAACACAGAATTTAACATATATAAAAGTAAAAACCATGATAAAGTGTGGTAAGATAAGTATATTTTGAAATTTTTAAAATTCCTCCGACTTACAAACAACCCTTTGGAATGAAACTAGTAAAATCTATTGGTCCAAATTATTTTATATTATATAATTTACTTGTTCTGAAGTTATTTTCAAATAATGATTTCTACTATTACGTTACATTTAGACATGATAATTGTAGCAATGTAACATTTATAAAACATATCGGAAAGATATTAATTACTCACGTAAACGATATACTTGCTCGTTTATTTTCTTTTAAAACATATTACATAACATCACCTACATCGATCTATATCAATTTACAATTCACCCGTACGCAACTTCCCAGGAGGTAGTGGACTTTCACAGTTTCATTCATAACCATAACATGAATTATCGTCGGACTATTCAATTATGAGGTATGATCATCAAAGTTACATTATCGAACATTTACTATCGATGGTCGGCGGAATTTCACCTTTCATCTCCTGATTCTTTATATGAAGATACGTGTTTTCGTATTGCTTAACCATCTCCTCCGGCAAAGGCCTATTCCAATCAGACGGTGGTTCTTTCCTCTTTCCCCAAACATCGTTTTCAATGTGCGCCTGCAGCCTCTCTTTTCTTCGATTGATTTCACTCTTAATCAATTCATTCTAAAACATAGAAATACAACATACAAATAATTTACAATAAATTAAATTTGTAACATTATCATGATTAATTAGAATATCTAATAATGTATGTTTTATTAAACGTTATTTTGTAAGATGTTAATAATCCCTTAATGAGACCTTTTCATTATATAATAAAAAGACTACATGATACATTCGAACTTACAGCAGCTTTAAGATCTTTCTTCTCCTCCCATTTAACACAGTTATCATAATCCCTTTTCCACTGTGAGCAATCCACACTTGAGCCATGGACAAATCTCTGATGCAACCTGCCTCGGATGGATCTGCAATCCCCATATTCTTCATCATAAACATTGCAGGGTCTAATCTAGAAGTTACAATTCAATTATAAAAGTATCAATGACAAATATTATCAAATTACCATCCATTCATATTGCAATTTCGGAACTTCATTATTATCTTCGTTGGTAGTTGATTCTTCTGGCATTATTGTAACAAATATTTCCAATAAGTTCTTTATATTTTTGAGGTTATGCAATGTTATAACATAACATATTAGGCAACCAAATAAGCGTAATGTTAACGGTGATATAGTAACTTTGCTAATTTGAATTTAATAAATAATATTTTTTCTATTTAAAAGTATAATAATGTCTTTTAATTAAGAATAAGTATATATAAAAAAATACCAAATGATATAATTTTTTGGAAAAAACTTAACCTCTAAAAATCGCAGTACAAACAAATAATTGACAATGATGAAACACCTCCTAAAAACTTATGGTTTCCTGATGAGAAACAGGATTTTATCCATGTAAGTTAGATTTCTAATAAGGACCAGATTATTCAACTTTTTTTTTTACTTTTGTTTGTTGTTGTCTTTTTTCCCATCTAATTGGATTAAATAAAGCAGAGGTTTAAATTAATCAAATTAGACTATGTTAACAAAATGAAATACTTGCATGCTCTTCTATTATTGTTTGTGATTTGTTTAATTGTGGGTGAGTTTTAATTGACAGTGACAGGATAAACTGGTAACATTCTAAAGGAGGTCAAAGATGTTGTTTCCCATCTGCACAATTAGTATAGACTTGGATTGTTGTTGATTCAAATGGAGACACTTAAATTGGTAACTATTTAAATTTAGGTAAATTGCGCAATGCTTCTATTTCTCAGAACAATTGTTTTTGTTATTAATATACTCTCATGTGCTTCTTGATATTTTTTGAATTGTAGTTAATTATGTAGGTATTTATAAAGCTATTGAAACTTTACACTTTGAGTTTTTATAAATTGTATCTTTTCTGTTACATTTTTACATTGTCAGGAAGACAACAATGATTCAAATTTGTAACTAAATTTAGTAACTATTTAAGTTTAGGTAAATTGTGCAATGTTTCAATTTCTCAGAACAATTGTTTTTTTTCATTAATATACTCTCATGTGCTTCTTGATAATTATAGTAAATCATGTAGGTATTTATAAAAACTATTGAAACTTTACACTTTGAGTTTTTGGAAATTGTATCTTTCCTGTGACAGTATTCAAATGTTCTCAGTATTGTGGGGATATCCATTTTTTAATGGAACTGATAGCACATGAAATACGCTGATTCATAGATTTTCTAATTATATATTTATTTAAAATAATGACAATTTTACGATATTTTCAAATAAATAATGAAACGTGACATATTTAAACAAGTTACAAGCACATAAAATTCTTAATAAAAGGAATTAAGATGAAGAGACAAATTAAATGTATAGTCAGAATAAAATCCAGTGATCAGGGTAAAATAGAAAAGTTCTTAAATTTGCTTTTAGCCTAACATAACAATATTCCTAATCCATGTAATATAGTCATAACTTACGAACCTTGCATATTTCTTAATCATATTTATTTACATTGAGAAATATTTAAGGCGAAGTTCTGTAACTTTGCAAATAAGTCGGAATTATCTTAAGTCGAATTTCATACAAAACAAAAAAGCACATAATATATACTTGTACAGTGGAACCTCGCTTAACGAACACCTCGCATAACGCTTAACAAGCAAAATCAATTGTAAGAAAAATGATCCGCTTAACGAGCGACGTTTCGCATAACGAGTGACGATGAGAAGAGCAGTCCGGGATTGCGCGCCTGCTACATCATTTTTAAAACTTTTGTACACATATTATGTGTATTTTACAATATTTTTCACTATGCGAGTAAAAATCCGGAAATTTTGGAAGGGATTAAACTTGTATATCTAATATATTTTATATTATTACATTCAATATATTTGAATTCAGGATTTATGATTTTAGAAGTGATTAAAAAGACGTTGAAAATAAATAAATAACCTAATCTAGTCATATGGTCGAATTCTATGATTGATATATTATGCAATTTTATGATGAATGAATGATGAATATTGTGAAACTTTAATAATATTGCACAATTAAATCATAATGTTTCAGTTGTTCGAATAAGATATTTAATTAAGTTCAATTTTATTTTCTATCAATTTTGAATATGTGAACGTAGAAGTATACCTATATCAAATATTAAAGAAAACTCGATATTTGATTTAGTTTAATTAATAAATAATTCTAAAAAAATCAATGTAAAAGCTCAAAACATTTCAACTCTTACATTTCTATTATGTCTTACTAATATAAGACAACAAAAATATCACATTATCTCGAACAATATTTAAACTATAATTACAACCAATTACTAATAAAAGTTACGTGAATTCATTTTGATAGTCAATCACAAAGTTAAGTAATATATGATTTACTTAGTTAAATCTAAATTTGGTGTGGGTTTCTCTAAATATACGTAAAATAAAGTAAAAAATAGTAATAAATACATCTAAATAATGCAATATTTATAGTAGCAATTTCCTAAATTTTCATTAAACTAATTATCACTAATAAGTTTCTCAGGTGTTATTGCCAAACTTATCCGAAGCAACGTTTGTATTTGTTGCTTTTTACAAATAGTGACGCAACATTAAAGTTGTATTAAGTTAGATAAGCTATCTAGATTGTAATAAAATGAGGTGATTACGTAAAATAACAAGGGAACTACTAAGTTGAGTAATGGATTCGTTTCGGATTTTGACCAGATTTATCGAATGTCGCGATTCAGATGAGACAAAACGAAAACAGTTTTTTTTTGGTAATATTTTTTCCAATTTACACATCGATAAGAGATTTCATCTGTTACGTGCGGTTGAGATTAACGCGCGAGGATAAGAAACCTCGTCGCAGATGTCGCCGTAGTCTATTGGCTTAAATTAATTTACGAAACACGTGATCTCGTGTATGTTTGTATGTATATGTGTGAGCTTGGCTGAGAGGGAATTGCGTAAACGTGCGTGCTCGTACCGAATTTATTTCTTGCTTTTAGTGTGTACGTTTGGACGGTAGCCCATGTAAATTTCCTTTTTCTCTTGATTCGTCATCGTGGCGGTGAACTTTGCGCGAAAATACGGTACGAAATAAATAATAATAATAATAGTAACGGATGAAGATCAAATAAGAGACATAAAAAAAAATAGGTTTTTGGTATGCCGAATGGGGATAGAAAGCGAATGTTTATTTTGAACGCGCCGAAACCAAATATTTTTAGAAGCGCATTCGCGCGAGTCGTGGGCGCTCATCACAGAGAACCAACTCTACGCGGGCTAGTTAAGTTGTTAGTAGAACGATAGGAGTCGCGCGATCGATGATCGATAATTCCCCATCAATAAAAATAAAAGCCGATTTCGTACCTGTATTTTATATTTGTAAGTTGAGTCCGCCGTGATTCTCTGACGAGTTCTAATTCATCTCCTGCAGGTGTCGGGTGATGGGCCGCGTCTGATTTGAACCAGAATGGATTTCGTGATCGGAGGTGTCTCCGCGGCCGGAGCGAGCATTTTCAGCAATCCGCTGGACGTGCTGAAAACTCGGATGCAGCTGCAAGGAGAACTGAAGGCTAAAGGACACCACGCTGTTCACTATAGGAACGTTTTTCATGCAGCCGTTGTCGTTGTGCAGAACGATGGATTACTCGGTCTGCAGAAGGGTTTGACTCCGGCTCTGTTCATGCATTTCATCAGGAACAGCGTACGTCTGGGCACGTATCAGTACTTGACCAAGAACGGCTTCATCACCGATCAAAATGGGAAGACGATCTTCTGGCGAAGCTTCACCGCGAGCGCTTTTTCAGGTGCCGCCGGTGCCTTCTTCGGAAGCCCTTTGTTCCTCATCAAGACCCAACTGCAATCGCAGGCTAATCGCAGCATTGCGGTTGGACATCAACACGGACATGCCGGTACTCTGGCTGCCATCCAACAGATCTACTCCAAAAACGGGGTAAGGCAACAATCAATAAAACACATTGTTATTTACTACTTACACAACTCATTCTGAAACAATAATCTTATCAGAAAATACAATACCAAATTAATTCTACAATAATGTTAAAAGTTCTTACTTGCAGAGCAAGTGGACATTTGAGGACATTTCTATTAATTTGTACTTGATGAATTATTTTACAAGTCATATGTTGCTACCTAAAATATTAGTAATTACTATAATTTAGTCTACCTGAAATGAACATCATTACAAGAGTCTTTGTCTTCATAATGGAATCTTTCATGAAATTGGAAGTAACCGGGATAACAAATATCCAAGAAGACTGTATTAGTACATCTTTTCATACTTACTGTTAGTAAAATCTACTCAGGTTCTTATAAAATAATTTATTTGAATGGAAAAACATTTTCGTCTGTTGTTTTGGCCCGAGTAAATTTGTTATTTTGTTGTCATCTATTTCTTGACACCGACTCAAACTATATTTAAATATTCATAAATCGCAACTCTTTATTTCTATATATAAATATTTAATTTGTACAACTTTTCATGTTTGCAAAATTTGTCTTAATTTTGTGTGCGATTCAGATATAGAAATTTAATAACATGCTTCCTGTTTTTTGTTTACGAGTTACGAGCTTAAATTTACATTCTTCCATTTCTTCAATATTCGAACATGTTATACATTGTTAGTTCAGTTAACGTACACAAATTGTTATACACGGTATACGGAATGTGAATTCGCATTTAAATACATTCAATTATGTTTGTTTTTTTCGTCCGCACGAACGTACTTTACATTCATACAAACGTACCATTTACCTTTGGACTTTGGCATTATATGCCGGGCAATAATTCTCAAATCTTGGGCTATATATTACGTCGGTGCTAAACGTTTCGCTAAATAGAAAAGTTTTTAAGTGACGCCGTCAGTAAACAAATATTTGTTGGCCGTACAATGTACTAGACTGTTTGATCGAAAACTTTACACACCGCGATTTGTCAAGCGGTTTAACACACACACACAATATTTTTAAGCAATTCTATGATTTGCTAAATGGTAACGGTCACAATCAATTTCAATATCAACAAAAACATCGATTCGCTAATAAAATGGCAATGCTAGAAATCGGTAGGTTCTTCCAATTCAATTGCTTTCGGATGACGTGACGTTTTATTTATCCCCGTCTGTTATTGTTCCACTTGCAGTTAAATCTTTCTATTTTTAACTGCCAAAAAATTCTGCGTTTGAATGGAATATATACATGAACGAAATTCCGCTTAATCCCAAAGACAAAATTTATTTTTAAACTTAAAATTTAAAAAAATAATGAAATGTAATTTATTAACTGATCTTTTTATTTGTGTTTCTTTTAACAATATAACAAAGTAAATTAATTAATATAACTTAATTCACTTGAAAAAGTTTCATTCCACATGATTATGAACAAACACATCTCAAGAATACATAACTCAACAAATTAACGTTTTTCATTGATAAACATAATTGCAAATAGTTTTTGTCTTCAACAAATTAATTACAAATGGTTCTTTGTTAGTAACACAAAATAGGTATGTTTCTTCCTTAATATTTATATCATTGTCTTCTAATATTTATTTATTTTATTATCCTCCCCATTTAAGTATTCAGTAAATTAGATCGTCATTGTTAATAACCAATTTTAGTTATGAAATACACATAATAAGCGATTTAAAGCGTTTCTCTTGTTAAGTTATGAGGATGTTAATCAATAAATTAAATGTAAACTTTCATAAAAAATAATTAAATAAGTTTACAGCATTTGTTTTTTTTTTTGATAAATTAGCGAGTTTAATCCGTTCCAAAATTTCTGGATTTTTAATCGTATAGTGAAACATATTCGAAAATACATATAATATTTGTACACAAGTTTTAAAAATGTGTAGCAGGCGCGCAATTTTGGACTTCTTAAGCGAAATGTTCATTATGCGAGGTTCCACTGTATATAAAATAAGTTATCATCCCTTACTTGTATAGTTTTCGAAATTTATTCCCCATTAGGAATATCTAGTTTAGCATTCATGGTAAAATTAACGTGTGCTTATTATTTGTCGTTTGTTCTAATTTCTATTTTTTTTTAATAGATTTTGTTCTTTATCAAATGTTGATTTTTCACTATTGTCAACAAATGTAACAATTTTTGTATTATTTATCGATATTTGAAAAAATTTCAAGGACACAAAACACAACCATGGGATGCCTGTGAAAGTTTGATAATTACGTTTTAAAATTTGGTACAAATTATTTATCGGTAACATTTGTAAGGTATAATTGTATACTTGATTAGAAAATTATGAAGTTATGTATACATACGTATACGCACGTATAAAGCATTAGGACAAGTTTTTTTTTAATGATAATACAACGAAGATTAATTATTAAAGTATATTATATAACTCGCATATAATTCTGATTCATATTAGGTTTGAAAATGATTCAATATTGACGCAATAATCCATGTAAAGAAGATATTAATCTTTTTATTAACACCGTGTGATCTTGTATATTGTTGGACGTTATCGTTTTTTTCTATCGGATTATCCAAGGATGAATTTATTACAAGTCCACAAAAAGAAAAATGGGTCAAATTTACATGTATTTGAAAAAAAAACAACAAACTATAATAGATAAAGAAGCGTATATGTAATCCACTTTACTATACCTATGTAAATAACTTTTTAATCTTATTTGCGATAAGAAACAGCAGACATCCTCGTAGACATTGAACCCTTCCTCATATATTTGTTATTTCTTTTTCCAATGCATTGTGCGTGCGTCTGTCTTTCCCTCTGTTGTACGCGTTCTTTTTTATTCGTCTACTCTCCCGTGGTGAATTGCACTGTAAAAATAAATTTGTGCGTCAAGGCTAAAATTGGCCATAGTCATTAGCGTCCTTTGACTTTCCAATCATTGGAACACCACCAAATTATTCATCGTACGATCGGCTCGAACTTCCAACTCGATTCGAATTGCTTTATTATCACCATCGATTATTCTATGACTCCATTGTTTGCATTGTATTTTTTTTCATTAATATTATGTTCGTTCCATTCAATACGCCTTATCTAGGCAGGTGGCTTAACTATTATTATATAAAAATTGTATTCGCGATAATCTTTCTGTTTTTTTTTCAATTTTTTTCAACGTATACTAAAAGTATCATCGTAGGTCCGTAGATGTAAAAAGGATGAAGAACACTGATATAAACTATCTGTGTTTTTGCAAAACAAGTAGATTAGTGTTAGATTTAGTTGTAATATTAACATCACAGTTGGCTATGTTTGTTTAATAATAATATTTGCAATTGTTCAACACATATATGCACCTACTAATCATGGTATAGAACAAATAAATCGATGAACAATGAAAGATACAAACTTTTTTTTCAATTAGTTGCAGAATTCTTAAATTATTGTGTAAAAAAATGTTATTATATAAGATAGTTCCAATGACGTACATTTACTTATTTCATCAAAACAAATAATTATTAGTATTGACGTTTCATTGATAAAATTGATCGTATCATTCAAAACGATGTTTCAATGTTGCATAGATTAGATTTTCTTAGATGTTTGATGACATCGATTCTCGGAATCGATTGCATCATTCGATTTTATCGTATTTTCATCACATAACATTTTCTTTGAGAGGTTTTCCTCTGCTTACATTCAATAACTTCGTTTACATTATAAACTGGGAATTTAATCTATTTTAATAATATTTGATATGTAACTTAGAAACTGTTACATACTATGATTTTATTTATAAATACGTATTAAGTCTCAATTATTCTACATAGAAAAAACATCATTTATAGATTTTTGTCCATATATCCAAATCGTTTTAGTTAAAATAATAAAATTCTGTTGTTATAAATTTAATATTATAGCTAGTAAAATTTTACTATTATTTTATTACTATGAACACGAATATTTTAACATAACAATATCAATAACATAATAGTAATTTTGTATTTATAAACTTATAAAATAACTATAAATATAAGTGTTATAAAGAGTCCTTGTAAGTAGGCTATATTTTAAAATTTATGTAAAATGTTAAATGTCGAAATTTATTATACAAGAAAATCATCAACAAATCGAATATATTTGATATATTTTTTATTTACTAGTTCGAGTTCTTTTCTCATTCATTTTCCAATTGAAAAGCGCTTAAATTGGTTGTATAGATTAGAAGAATTTACAACTTGATTCTTGACAATCAGCAATTTTCATCATTCAAAAGTATCAGTAAGATGATGTTTTTAATCAGGCGGTGACTTTATGTAGAGTTAAAAATGAAAAATTCTTTGTATGACAACGTCTTTGTTATTTGGTGATTTGCGGACAAATGGTTATATATTCGGAATCTTTTCTTCTTAGCAATCTTACTGCCAACGATCGGAGATTTTCTATTTGGAAAGATTAGTTGTAAAATCTTCTATCTAATTCTTAAGAATCAGCAATATTTTTTATGTCTATTTTTAAATGTCCATCATTCGAAAGTGTGATGATATCCTTAATCGATAGGCTTTTTTATGTAGAGTTAAAAAACGAACATGTTTCCATTATTTTTTTAACAATGTCTTTGTTATTTGAAGTTTTGCGGACGAATTCTTGATGATATATTCGTAATATTAGCCATTCAGTCAATAATCGGAGATTTTTCCAATCGAAAAGCGCTTACATTCTTGAGAATCAGCAATATTTTTATGTTTATTGTTGATGATGATGTCCTTAATCAATAATCTTCTTTATGTAGAGTTTAAAAAAAAGGAAAATGTTTCTTTCCATCTATTTCTTGAATAATGTCTTTGTTATTTGAAGTTATGTGGACGAATTCTTGATGATAAATTCGAAATCTTAGCAATCTTTCAGTCAACAATCGTTCAAGGTTTGTTGATATTCTTAATCACATAAAGAGGACATGTAGAGTTCAAAAAGGAAAATGTTTCTTTCCATCTATTTCTTGAAAAATGTCTTTGTTTTTTGTCCATTGCGATTTTCCAATTGTAAAGCGCTTAAATTAATTGTAAATTATTTTAGATAAGAGAATCAGCAATATATTTTTATATTTATTGTAAAATGTCCATCGTTCAAAGTATTTTGATATTCTGAATAAGGTGTCCTCTTTATGTAGAGTTAAAAAAGGAAAATGTTTATTTCCATCTATTTCTTGGACAATGTCTTTGTTATTTAAAGTTCGGAATCTTTTCTTCTTAGTAAGTCAATGGTCGGAGTTTTATTTTCGTTCGTTCTTTCAGATAATAACATTCATTCAAGTCATGCATATTTGGAAAATAACAAAATTAACCTGATGTTACTTTTTAAGAATTCAGGATCATGGATAATCTTGTCTTCTTATTAGGTTATTAGATCCTTTTATGAAGATCAAGTAGTCTTTCTCGTTAAAATAAAAAATAACTTATTTATTATTATTATACTTATATACTTATTATATAATTATTTGTATTGCCATCAAAGTGTCGTGGAATGGGATGGAATTCTGGACACAGTGGAATATTGTCTGGTGTTTGTCGTTGTGGAGTCTCAGTTGTTGGGAATTTAATGAAATTTTTGGTTTTACATAACTCTATTCGTTACTTTCGATTTAAGATTCATCTGAGACTATACTCATATTACGAGGTGTTGCTGAGAGTATGTTCGTCTTTAATGGTTCTGCTAAGACTATGTTCATCTTAAAAGGTTTTTATGAGACTATTCGTCTTTAAAATAGATTGTGAATAAAATTACACGACATAAAAAAGTGTCATCTATAATATAAGAATTTAAGAAATTGTAAAGTTATCTAATTTAATTGTTATTGTTTTTTTTAAATTGTAGATTCGAGGATTATGGCGTGGAGTAAACGGGACGATGTTGAGGGCGGTAGCGGGTTCTTCGGCGCAGCTGACCTCCTTTGCGATGTCCAAGGATTACCTCAAGCAGTATTCGCTATTTGAAAGCTCGCCGCTCCTGACCTCGCTTACGGCGAGCATCATCGGCGGCTTCTTCCAAACCATCATGATCACTCCGTTCGACCTAGTATCCACCCGCATCTACAACCAAGGTAACTAATCCCTTTAGCACCATTTCATCAAACATTTAACCAACGGTTATCTCATTGCTTAGGTCTTGATGCGAACGGCAAAGGTCTACTCTACAAGGGCATCGCCGATTGCTTCCTGAAGACGTGGTCCGCCGAAGGTTTCTTCGGATTCTACAAGGGCGTGACGGCAAACTACATGCGACTGGCGCCGCACGGTGCCCTCTGTTTAGTGTTTTGGGACTTGTTGAAGGGCGTGCAGGCAAAATACTTGGACGATCGGTGACTGAACTTATTTTCTCCATCCTAATTAAATTAACCAGTTTAGAAACAAAAACCACAATTAACAGCAGCGACTTCAAAAAAATGAACAACGATCCGAACGAATTGTTTTTTTTTACAGTAAATAGTGTATATAAAGAAGTAGATTTTAAGACAAACACGATGATATAAAAAAGAAAATAAAATTTTGTTAGGTTATATATAAAAAAAATAATGTAGAAAGATTTTTTGACTGCCTCCGAATCCTCTACCTAAAAAAACGTAATTAACTACATTTAATGACCCATGGACACTTTGTTTTTAACTTAATTACTTTTTTTGGTTGGAATTTACTTAAGTCTTAGCGGTATCGAATTTGAAAAGCAAGTGAAAGCGCGAAACTTAAGCCGTTGGCGCTTGCGCGATAACGGTTCTATTACCTGTAACACCTACAAGTCAAAGACTATTTCACCTGCAATAAAGTTCATTGACTTCTTTGACGATATGTTGTGGTGTTCCTTCACAAAACCGACAAATCGTAGCTGAATCTGATTCAAAGTATACTTTGATAGCCGCGATCCGATTGTAGAAGATGCGCGAAATTTTATCAGTTCCAGATGTTGCACAATTCCTGTTGATAAGACAAGGTGAACCACTCAACAGATTTATTAATACTTATTATATGTAGAGAGGAGTCGTTCACACACACACAAAAAAGTGTCTATATATATATAAACGCATATACATATAGAGAGGTTTATACATGTGTGTGTGCACATCAAACAACCTGTTCCCTGTTATCTATGTGGCAGATTTACGCATCGCCCAAAAGAAAGAACGTTTCCAGGATTATGTGTAATAGTTGAAACAGCAAGAACAGCAAATTATAATTGAAAGAACACCATGCACGAGTTATTCATGCAAGTCCTGAAGAACAGGGATTTATCCCGGGCTGGAGATCTCTTCTCAGTGAGGGACTCCATCATAGTCAATGATCTCACAGAAGTTGTAAGTAACATGAACTCCAAAAAAAAAAATATATATTTATTTTTTGCAATCTGTTTAGTTGAAGGAGATCACTTCCATCTCTTCTCTATCAGATTATGCACAGAACAACAATGACCAGAGTGTGGTGGAGATATGTGTGACCCGAGTGACATCCTGCATCAGGGAGACAGCAAGTGTGGAGCAGCACTGCGAAGCTCTGGTCACTCTGCTGGAGTCATGCCTACATCACAACCTGCAGATTAGTGCCAGAGGTGAGGATCCACCTCATGCAAAAATTTCTAGTGATATTATCTCCTGCATATTCCTGGTAAGTACCACCATTATTAAAATAAAATAAAACAGTTTCATTTTAAATACATTTTAGAATTACAGCAAGAAAACAGTGATGCAGAGGGCCCTTCCAGTTGCAGTGAAATTCCTACATAAAGGAAACAAAGAACTGTCAAGGAACATGGCCTCATACTTATCCTTAGCTGCCATAGAACATGCCTCCCTATTGAGTCCACATGTTCAGCCCATCATGGATTCCATTATTTCTGGTTTGGATATTAACTACATGCATTCATTCCTCATATTAATAACGCATTGATTACAGGTAATTATCCCTTATGCAGAGTTTTGGCGCAAATCTACGAGGTTTCGCCCGATCCGCTGCAGGGACACGCCATGGCTTTGGTCTCTCTTCTACCGCACTGTGATAACCAGGAAAAAATGGCTCTACTCAATTTGTTTTCGTTAATAGCAAAGGATAATCCTTCTGTGAGTTGTTAATCAATCAAGCTTATTCTTTATGGTTCTATAATGGATTATTTGATGCAGTTACTGGAAGCTAGTGTGCCGCAGTTATGCGAGTATTTGGGAAGTTCTACAACTGTGAATGCGACGCTACAGGTCTTCCTTAATATGGCCGAAAAGAAGCCGGCCCTTTTGGCTGATCACGTTGGGGCTATGAAACAGGCGGCGCAGAGGCATCCGCAGACCGTGTGTTTGGCGGCACAAGTTATTGGTGCAGTTGGAAAATTGAGTAAAGTATGTTTTAAATCGTTCAATTATAAACAACATTATTTGAAAATTATTAAGATGCTAGAGAATTCTAATGAAGATCGCAGTTGTTAGCCATGTTTGCATGGAATATTTTGACGAATATATTTGTCAACTACAGATCTTAGCTTAAAACTAAAGTCGATGTAATTTTTTTTAATAATATTTCTTCCAATTTTTAAACAACACTTCTTGTGTATGTTATATGTTAACAAGTGGTAATACAAATAATTAGTTGTGTTTTATTACTTACAATGTGGATTTCTTAATTATATGAGTTAACTCAGTTAAGTTTTGCTATTCTGAGAGGTTGATTTTAACTACTTACTTAACTATTTACAATTATATAATTAAAATAAATGGTTCTAAATACTAAAGCAAATATCTACAAATAGATACATGAAAAGTAAAGATTATTAAATAATGGCATTGATTAATTTTGTATCAATCTAAAGGAACATTTTTATTTATTTATACGAATTTAATCTAAAAATTACGAATGATGTACTAAATGTTTTAATTCATATGTTTTATTTTGTTTTTTTTAGGCTAGAGCTCAAGATGCTTTGAACTTCGTATTGGAGTATTTGCCGAAAGCGGACAGAGGCTCACAAAGCACATTGCTGAGAGAGGCTACTTTATTGTGTAGTTCGTATCCTGTCTTGTTCACGCTATTCACGGACAAAGTTCTAGCCGGAGTCAGAAAGCAGCACACAAGTACAAATCAAATAAACCAACCGGCAACTACTTCAGTGCCAACTTCAAATAATGTCACTTCGGGTGGAGTCACCATCGTGAAAGTCGGAGGTACAAATCAGAATTCTACGCCGCAAGGAGGCTACACCCGGAGGGCCAAATTGGGAGACTCTAGGAGTACCGGAAGACTGCATACAGCCACAAACACGAACACTCATAGGAGTATGACCAGGTTGAACATAGCTGGAGGATCAGTCGGAGGCTTGCACAAAAGCATGACCCGATTGAGTTCTTCCCAGCAAATCAACTCCATACCTGTCCCACCCTCTTCGGCAATCGCGGCACCCACGCCTCCTCTTTCCAATAATGTAATCGTGACCGGTACAAACAAATGGGGTATCCCAAACATGAGGGTTCTCAGTGGCGGAGTTACCGTCACCACCATATCTCCTCCCCGAATGCAGCGTCCACTGAGTCAAGGCCCGCTCATACATTCCACGCCCAGCTCGAATCACACGAATCAGGTATTATGGACGCACTCCGTCGATCGAATGAAATAATAATGCTTTAGGTTTTGGTGAATGCCAAGAACAATGGAAGCAACGCCGTCACAGTCAGCTCAGTCTACTCAGGTCAAGTGAACGTTCTGAACAGTTGCACGCAGAATATCCAAGTCTCGAACAACAATTTTGCCATAGACAATGCCACCAGCAGTAGTCAAATCATGGGCAGTGGTGGGTTTTGATACTCATTGATAAAGGAATGAAAAAAATAACATTGATATTTTAAGGTAATGTTAACGTCAGTGGACCGACGACCGTTACATCCCGCCGAGCGAACAATACCAGCGTAACGCTACTGAATCAAGGAGTCGGGGCAGCAGCAACTCAAAGGATGAGCGTCTTCGAACCGTATCCCATGAGGGATACCATCCAGCATTTCTGCGAGAAGCACCTGGACAAGATCAAAAGCTATATGGACAAAGTATCCGTAAGGATCCCGCCTCCGGCCAAGTGCACCATCGAGGAAAAGCGGCAGAAGAAATCCGCCAAGTTGCATTTCGCGTGTCAGGCGCGAGGACAGCACTGTCTATACTCGAAGACCTTCTTCACGATGCGCACTAGGAACCCGAGGATATGGATACATTTGATGTTCATCGCGTTGCAGGCAAAATCAGCGCACGCTTTGAGCTCGAGGGACGCGTCGGTAACCAGTTTGAAACATTGCTGGGATATGCTTAAGTGCGAGAACAAGACGTTTCTTACTTTGGTGACGAGCGCATTTCCCTGCGCCAAAGACCAGGAAACTTTGTTGAACGAACTTAGGCATTCCGGGTTCTTCGACGTGTTCCAGCTCAGTCCCGGCGTAGTTGGTGGATCCGCTGATCAGTTGGAGAGTGCCAATTTCCAATGGGGTTGTTTCTTATGCACTCATCCAGAACGAGCTGTCGGGTTCTTAAGAGGTAATCATGGTGATTACAAATCATTAGTTGGATGTTAAATGTTTTGTTTTATATCTAGGCGATGCACAACCGGTAATTGAAGGTCAGCTGAAGGAGAAAAAGGGAAGATGGAGGCTATTCAGGCGGTGGAGGACTAGGTACTTCACATTATCAGGTGCCCATTTATCCTGCAGAGGCTCAGTAAGTAATCTTTATATATTATTCAAGTATTACCATAAAAAGACTTAACTATACACATATTAATTCAATGAATTAATAATTAAGTACAATAAAAAGAGAAACATTTATTGGACCTTTGACCTACTATATTTGTATTATTTATATGTTTTATTGAATTTATATTGCGTATGTAAACGTATTAACGAAATCATACGATATTAGGCAATAAAAATGTGTTAGATTCAATTGGAAGGCCAACCAAATGTTGAAACTATAAGCATAACAAATTATGATATTTTGTATATTTCTTTATAAAATAAAATTTTCATACGACGAGATAAAAGCATTCATTATCTTCTCAAGTGGATATAATGAACAACATACGTTCGATAATACGTATATTATTTATTATTAACGTACATTTGAGAGAAATAACTCGTATTCGTATGAACTTAATCCGTTTGTTGGCTCTCATTATATTGCGCATGTTTAAGTGTACGTTCGTATTAACATAAATTTTGTTCGAAGATACGTGTATGCATAGAAAATCATAAATGCATGCATTTGTATGTGAATTCATCATCCGATTAACGTACATTAGTTTAGCTTACTGTAACTTTTGTACGTTAACTGAGCTGATTATATTTGTTTATACATTTTTCTTCAGAACAATGAAATTAATAATGATTCTAATTTATTTATTATTTTCAGAGCGGAGGCGAAAGCATCGACGTAAATCAAATTCGATCGGTGAAGGTGTCGCGAGGAGCTCGAAACATACCCAAAGCTTTCGAGATCTTCACCGGCAACCAGACTCTGATCCTTAAACCCAAGGACGGTAAAAACGCAGAAGAATGGGTGCAATGCCTGAGCATAGTCGTGGCCCATTCGCACGCGAAGGAGTTGCCAGGAAAGAGCAATTCGCTTCCAGCGAGAGGCCTCGGCGCAAGTCGTACTGCAGTTTGAACGAAAAAAGAAAACCGAAAAAAAAACAAATATCTTCGATTCCAACTCGGTATTTTTTTTTCTTCGGTGCTAGTCTTTGGAAATTGATTGGTCAAATTCAGACGAAACTGTCTTGTTTATTCTCTTCAGCTTTATTATATAAGTATTAACCTCAGTACTTAATAATAATCATTTTTTGTACACACTATTTTTTTTGTACTTATAGATATTTTTTTTATATTCAAGATGATTGATTTTTTTTTTAAATATATATACATACATGACTTTTCCTTCAAACTCTTGGGGGTTGCCGAGACGAAAACAAAACGATATACATTCCAATTTTATAATATATATATTTTATGTCTAAATGTGAATATATTTTACGATTTGTTATATAAAAATGAATGTTATTTGAAAAAAAAAGATTTACAATTATTTTGTAATTAAAAAAAAGGACATCTTTTCGCAGAAACGGACGGTTTTCTTTTATTTATTCGTAAATGTATGTTTTGTACACTCCTTGAAACACTTACTTAATTTTTTGTCTTCGAGTTAAACGTTAATCCTGATATAAAGCCAATTTACCTTGCAATTAACAAAAGATCAATCATTTGTTGATAATATAAGTTCATACTACACTTAAATGAAGCAGTACACGAAGTAAGTATTTCCAAATATATTTACCTGAAGATAATTTCGATGGAATCCAAAGTAATGCAAAGAATCTTATTGTTGGTAGATTCACTTTATCAACATTTTAAATAATAGAGAAAAACTTAGTATAATTAGACGACTTCTCGACCATAAAGTAAATATTTTAAGAATAGTCAGAAAATTATTAAAATAAAAAGCAAACAATTTAGCAATATAATCAAATTTTATTTTTGTCACCTGAAATTTCTTAAACAATTTAACATTTATTAACTAACCAAAATTTGCTTTTACTTGTAGATTAACTAGTTTCTTACAGTATTACAATAAAAATGTTACAGATAAATTAAAATATTTGACAAATTGAATGAATTAAAAAATGGAAGGATTTGTTTTAGGACTTAGGATGCTTTGATTACACATGTTTGTTTCTTTCCCTTAAAATTTATTAATTATGTTTGTACTTACATAGTATCAGTTATTAGATTAATTTCAATTTAAAACTAAATGTCTTGATTATAGAATACAAAGTTCAAAACTGCAACTTCTCCATGTAAATTAATATTTTGGCAAACAGCTTTGCGCAAACATCAAATAATAGATAGATAGTATACAAAGAACTGGAAGAGGGTTAATTTTGATAATTTGGGATGCGTTCTATTAGAATTTAATAGTATTATTGTTATAAGCTTTATTAACTCAGTGAAATCTATATATTTTTTTGTACTTACATAGTATTATTACTAAGTTAATTTATTATTATTTATACATAACTGTTTCTCACGATGTAAGGTGTTTTTATACATCATACGGTCTCTTATAAAATATATAATAATATGGGTATATATATATGATTTTATATAAAACAATATTGGGAATATCGTAGTACTCCGAATATTTTCACATAATTTGTATTGAAAAAAATCTGTCGCATGTCAAAACGGCTTTTATTTTTTTACATATATATATATCTTTACATATACATACTTATTAACAGAAAAAATATTAGAATATTAAAAAACAAAATATGAGTCAACTAATCGAACCGAAGAGAGTACAACGTTACATTAATAAAATGTATGTGAAAAGGTACGTAATGATACTATAAATTATGATTAATGATAAATTAGATTTTGGTAGAATCTAAAGTAGTCTGAGTTGGCGGTCGAAACCGACGTTGGGTTTAGCGCTGGGTCTTGCAGCCCGAACAAGGGCCATGGCAGTCGCAAAGTCGTAGCCTAATCTGGTGATAAGGTAACCCACGACGATGGTAACGGATCGCGAGACACCTGCATTGCAGTGCACCAGGACACCGCCCACCTTTGACTCTGCCTCGATGAAGAGCGAGCATTCGTGCAACAGTTCGGGTAGACTCGTGTCTGGCAAATCGAGACACTCCATAAACTTGTAGGTCACGCCTTCGGGGGCGTGTACCGGCGCTTCCACACCCACGCTCAATACAGCGATTATCCCGAAGCGGATCAAGGTGTCGGGATCGCAGCAATCCTGCGATCCCACGAACAAATTGTCGAGGACACGAGCAGGAATCGCATCTGGCGAACGGTCTACCACGTAACCGGAAGTGGCCGGACTCAGCCGAACCTCGGGTTCTCCGCCCTCGGATGACACCAGGGTTCGGCTGCCGTCCAGTTGGGTAACTACAGTGCGGGTGCGCTTCAAACGTTTACGCAAAATTTGGTCCAAGAAACTCATATTTAATAATAATAAAAAAAAGAAGGAAATATTACAAACAATTAAAAATAATAATAGAAAAAAAAAACAAATTTACCCTAAGTATATAGAAAAATATTACTTTTAAAAAACTTTCTTCTCGAAAATGATATCTAGTTAAATTACGTAAAAAAAATGGGGAGGATTTGGAGGAAATAAAGAAAAAAAAAGTAATCTTCAGCGTCGGCGTGCTTGGTTAATTAGTTGTCGTGAGACCTTGAGCGTGATCTGGAGCGGGAACGCGACCTGCTATCTTGGCGGCTACGCGAGCGCGATTTTTCGTCGCGTTTCAAGGAGCGCGAACGGGAACGGTCGTCGGGTCTTCTGGAGACGCTCCTGGAATGGGACTTAGGGCGGCGGGAAAGTGAGCGAGAATGTGATCGTTTCTCGGCAGATTTCGGGCGCGATACAGAGCGAGAGTGCGATTTGGGCCTTGATGGGGAACGGGAGCGACGGTCAGATTTCGGGCGGCTCGAGCGGGAACGTGAGCGGCGCTCGGATTTGGAGCGGGAACGTTCGAGCGATTTCTTACGTGAGACGGAGCGGGACTTGGACTTCTTCGCGGAACGCGACCTCGAACTGGACCTGCTCTTCCTTGGGCTCCTGCTTCTGCTGCGGCTACTGTACGATGATGAGCGACTGCTGTGCGGTCTATCCTCGATCAACCTGATCTTGCGACCGTTGATTTCTGATTTATCCAGCTTCTCCATGGCGTTACGCATATCCGAGCTGGACGCAAACTCGACGACGCCTTCATTTCTGCGTTTCTTGTGGGCATCGGCGTAGGTTACTTCGCCAGCTTGACGCATATAATCCTTAAGGTCTTGCCAAGAGACCCTTGAAGAGAGGTTCTCCACAATCAGTCGATGAGCTGTACGAGTCGGGGGTCCGTAACGATCGTTGCGTGATCTGTGCTCACCACCACCACCACCGCCGCCGCCGCCTCCGCGAGTAGGATGATCCCTATCCCTAGCGTAATACTGGTCCCTACCGCGAGGAGTACCTCTGGCCCTCTCGACGGTGACCCTAACGCCAAGAAGCTTCTTGCCGTTCAATTCATAGACTGCGTCCTCTGCGTCCCTGTGATCGTCAAATTCGACAAATCCATAACCGTTCTTCAAGAGCACCTCGCGCATACGACCATAACCTCTAAAGAATCGCTCTAAGTCACGTTCATTTGTGTCGCTAGGTAAATTACCTACAAAAACGCGTGTGCCTACCATGGCTCTGAACGAAAACTGGCTTGGATCTCTTTCGGATATTTCACTTGGCACAAGTACAGACCCTGCGGCGGTGCTGTTTTGATCCTCGAATCCCAGGAGTTATGCGAAGGCACTTCTAGCATGCAACGTACGTCCTTCTCGGTGATGACTCCTTTGGCTATGCCTATTAAAGCAGCTAAGATGCGTCTGACCTGCAAAGAGAATGAAAAAAATTCGGTCAAAACAACGATTTCGGCTTTCCCTCCAAACAACCAGCACAGGTCCCTATATTTCGTTTTTTTGTTAGGTTAGGAAACGTGTCTGAGGCGACGCGTCTATCTTAAGATGCTAAACTTACGAGTGAATAATGCGCGTTCCACCGTGTCGGCTTTCGACCGATCTGGCGACTTCGAAGAAACAGCGGGCACAAAAATAAATATTTTAAAAAATAACTCAGAAACGTTACGAAGATTCGGTGTGTATTTGTCACACCAATCTGAAGGCGGCGAAAGCGGTTGTCACATGTAAACGCAGTGTTGCCAAACAAAAAATATTATTCATTCTATCGCCCAGCACATAATTAAAAGAAAGTTTTTAAGTTTACCAAAAGCACAATTTTCTATAGTTACAAATTATGTTAAAGTTATTGAAAAAAATAATAAACATAAAACTGAAGATACCGATTCAAATCAAAGTCCAACTAATATTTCTACACAGTTTTTAAAATAAATCTACTTTTCAAAAACTTTAAAATTTTATCAATTGTCTCAAAATTTAAAAACTTCGCGGGAAAAGACTTTATACCAATATGTCATCAGTTGGCAAACTCATCGTTTGTCCCCGACTTTCAAAAGAACTATTATAACTGTATTATTTTAATTTAAAATTAGTTAATTGAAATGTATTAGTTAAATTTTTTTTACTATGGGTTCTACCAAAACTTTAGTGTAATACTGAATAGTTGGCAAAGAAATTTGTAATATTTAAGATAGAAAATTTAAATTTTAAAGATGTTAATATTTACCAATAGTAAGCTCACACTATAATATTTGAAGATTTGATCTAACTGCACAAACTGTTAGTGCAAGACTGATGCTTTGAAAGCAAGAGTGCTACTTTTTAAAAATGCAGAACTCTTTTAAAGAAGAGAAATGTATTGAAAGTTGCGTTAATATTGTCAAAGTAAAGACTTTTAAATATTAACGATGTTAATATTTACCTAATAGTAAGCACAAATAATAGCAGTAAAAGACTAGATCTATCTTTAGCAACTGTTTCTGCAAGACTGATGCTTTGAAAGCAAGAGTGTTTATTATGTATACTATTTCTTTTGTGAATGAGTGGGGATGTACTTGCGCCCTTTGAGAAACGAAATGTAATTAAAGTCACAATTCTAAGAAACGTAGCATTTATAAAATTGTCTTCTTCCCTAAATATGGCTTTGCCAACGATACTTGTTAATGTTTAGAACAAATAAAATAAATTTTAGAAAACTTTTTAAAAAGACAGAACTCGTTTAAAATACAGATATGATTCTAAAGTTGGATTAATAAAGACTTATAAAAACTAAAAATGTTAATATTTACCTAATAGTAAGCACAATCAATAATTGTTGAAGACTAGATGTATCTGCAGGAACTGTTACTGCAAGACTAATGCTTTGAAAGCAAGAGTGCTTGTTATTTATACTATTTTTCTGTCAATAGTGGGGGTATACTTGCGCCCTTTGAGAAACGAAATGTAATTAAAGTAACAATTCTAAGAAATGTAACAAATGATATTTGTTAATGTTTAAGACAGAAAATTTAAATGTTAGCAACAAACTATTTAAAACTTAAAGAGAAAAGACAAGTTTTTTAAAGTTGCGTTAATATTGTGAAAGTAAAGACTTTTAAAAACTAAAGATGTTAATATTTACCTAATAGTATAGTAGTAAGCACAAATAACAACAGTAGAAGATTTGATGTATCTGCAGGAACTGTTACTGCAAGACTGATGATTTGAAAGCAAGAGTACTTATTATTTATACTATTTTTCTGTCAAAGAGTGGGAGTGTACTTGCGCCCTTCGAGAAACAAAATGTAATTAAAGTAACAATTCTAAGAAAAGTAGCAATTGATATTTGTTAATGTTTAAATGTTACCAACAAACTATTTAAAAGTTAAACAGAAAAAACAAGTTTCTAAAGTTGCATTGATATTGTCAAAGTAAAAAACTTTAAAAAATTAAAGATGTTAATATTTACCTAATAGTAAGCACAAATAACAATTGTTGAAGACTTAATGTATCCACAGGAACTGTTACTGCAAGACTAATGCTTTAAAAGCAAGAGTGTTTATTATTTATAATATTTTTCTGTCAATGAGTGGGGGTATACTTGCGCCCTTCGAGAAACCGAATGTAATTAAAGTAACAATTCTAAGAACTGTAGCAATTGATATTTCTTAATGATTAAGGCAGAAAATTTAAATGTAAATAACAAACTATTTAAATCTCTTAAAGCAACAAGAACAGTTTTCAAAGTTGCGTTAAGATTGTCAGAGGAGGAATATTAAAGATGTTAATATTTACCTGATAGTATAATAGTAAGCACAAATAACAACAGTAGAAGATTTGATGTATCTGCAGGAACTGTTACTGCAAGACTGATGATTTGAAAGCAATAGTACTTATTATTTATTCTATTTTTCTGTCAAAGAGTGGGAGTGTACTTGCGCCCTTCGAGAAACGAAATGTAATTAAAGTAACGATTCTAAGAAATATAGCAATTGATGTTTGTTAATGTTTAAGGCAGAAAATTTAAATGATGCCAACACACTACTTAAAACTTAAAGAAAAAAGACAAGTTTCTAAAGTTGCGTTAATATTGTCAAAGTAAAAACTTTCAAAAACTAAAGATGTTAATATTTACCTAATAGTAAGATCACACAATATAATATTTGAAGATTTGATCTAACTACACAAACTGTTAGTGCAACACTGATGCTTTGAAAGTGCTTAATATTAATATTTTTTTGCTATTGAGTGGGAGTATATATGCGTCATGTGGAAAAGAAATGTTACAATTCTAAGAAATTTAGCAATAAAAATCGTCCTTTTTGATAAAATTCAAACTTGTAAAAAGGCAGAACTCTTTTAAAGAAGAGAAATGTATTGAAAGTAAAGTAAAGACTTTTTTAAATAATAAAGATGTTAATATTTACCTAATAGTAATCACAAATAATAATAATACTTGAAGACTTGATCTATCTGTAAGAACTGTTACTGCAAGACTAATGCTTTGAAAGCAGGAGTGTTTGTTATTTATACAATTTTTCTGTCAATAAGTGGGGGTATACTTGCGCCCTTTGAGAAACGAAATGTAATTAAAGCAACAATTCTAAAAAAGTAGCAATTGATATTTGTTAATGTTCAAATATTACCAACAAACTATTTAAAAGTTAAAGAGAAAAGACAAGTTTCTAAAGTTGCGTCGATATTGTCAAAGTAAAAACTTTAAAAAACTAAAGATGTTAATATTTACCTAATAGTAAGCTCAAATAACAATTGTTGAAGACTTGATGTATCTGTTACTGCAAGACTAATGCTTTGAAAGCAAGAGTGCTTATTATTTATACTATTTTCTGTCAATAGTGGGGGTATACTTGCGCCCTTTGAGTAACGAAATGTAATTAAAGAAACAATTTTAAGAACTGTAGCAATTGATATTTGTTAATCATTAAGGCAGAAAATTTAAATGTTAACAACAAACTATTTAAATCTCTTAAAGCAACAAGAACAGTTGCGTTAAGATTGTCAGAGGAGAAAGATTTGTTTTAAAATATTAAAGATGTTAATATTTACCTGATAGTAAGCTCAAAGTATAATATTTGAAGGCTTGTTCTATCTGTAGAAACACTGAGTAGAACTGATGCTTTAGAGATAAAAATCAGCATATATATACTAAATTTTGGGGTGTATGCGCAGTAGGGGTATTTTGCGCCCTTAGCATAGAAAAGGTGAATTCCGAGAAACGCAGCAATAAAACGATGGGTCAAGCGTACTGATAAAAAAAATTACCTGCTTGTACAGGAATCCATTCGATTCAATGAAAATATTGTAGAATTTGCAATCACTCTCTTCAGTTATACCAAATGTGGGCCAACTGTACTCATTGTAGAAATGTCCAGATGCTTCAACAATTTCCAATCGTTTGATCACCCTCCTTGTCATTTTATCAGGTTTCTTCGTGCCTTTTGCCATGAAAGATCTGAAATCATGCAAGCCATGGAACAACTTACAAGCACTACTAAATTTTTCCACATCAAAAGTGCTAGTACTGAAAAAATCGAATTTAAAACCTTATTCAATTTGCAATTCAATTAATTACCTAATAAAAGAGACTCTCTCAATCTCCTCAATTGGGATCTGTTTCAGAACATTGTTTTCATTAATATTCTCTGACTTAATTATACCAAGCCTGTACATGTAAGTTCTAGACTCGGCATTCCTACTGTGGAAGTCTGGAGGGACACAGTAAGTCCTAATAACTCGAATTGGTAACTCATGACGGATAAAGTATTTATTTAAGACTACAGTGAGAGATTCCGGTGGGTAGGGTCTACCTTTCTCACTAATCAAATCCACATGCATGGTGCTCTGCAATGCATGCACTCCAGAATCAGTTCTAAAATAATAAAACAATTGAATTTCCCAATATTGTCAAATGTTTCTACAATACTCGCACCTACTAGATGTTACAACTGAAACATCATTTGCAGGCTTCAAATTTCTTAAACCAATCTCTATACGTCCCTGTATAGTACTCGTATCCTCGCGAATCAATTTTGTTAATTTCACTTGTCTTTGAGCACCCCTGGATTGTTGAAAAAAAAGAGAATACAAAAATCAGTTAAAAAAATTGTTTATAATTTCGTTTCAAAGATATTAACCTAAACGGAGTCCCAATATAAGAAATATTTAGTAAATATCTTTGCATTTTATCGCAGTTTTGATAAGTTGATATTTGAATTAAATTCGAGGTTAGATCATGCTTTGAAACCGGCCAGTTATGTAATCTGTCTCATGTTGATGCTTGTTAAATTGTCTAACTGTTTTCATTGATTAGGTTTGTTTAAATAATTAAAGGATAGATATTGTTTAATATATGTTTCAGGTAAATTTTATTAATTAAAGCTGAAAATTACAAAACAAGTTTCATTTCATTTTCTAGTTTCACATAAAGAGTTGCCTATAAAGAATAGTTAAGGCAAATATAAAAAAGTATATTTTTGTTATTTGATACAAAAATCTTATAATCAAATTGTTAAACTTATAACTTTATTTATAATTGTAATTGTAAAGAGATAACGTTCTTAATTCTTTGGTTTAAGTAAAAATATAGGGATTACGATATTAATTGAAGTTTAGATTGACGTTAAACTAGGTCTCTACAATTGGCCTAGAAACATTAATATATTTTAATTGATAGAGATATCCGATCTTCGATTGATTGAATTGGTGTTGATTTGAATGTAAGCTGTGTAACAAGACGAAAATACCCAAACAATTTCTATAAATAAAGTAACTTAGTACATTTAATTGGAGAAAATTTTTAATATTTTAAAATTTAATTAGTTATTAACAAATATACAATAGCAACATTTTTCATTTAAGAAAAAAATCTTCATATTAAGCAAGGTTAGACAAAGATTTTCTTGGAGCTCAAAAATATGTGACAAATATGCATTACTTTGGACATAACTTAGAGATTCTTACACACTTTACACACACTTTATTATTTTTTACTTTTATATTTGTTAAATTCCGTATTACTAACTGCATAAATTTGAAAAAATAGATTAAAATAAAAAAAATTCTTACAAATACTTTTCAATGTAGACATCACTATTATATAATTAAAAAAAAACGACAAAAGAAACAAATGCAATAAAACAATTTGTTTGTAACAAGTTAGAGCTTTTAGATTTTTATTTGTAAGTGCGGGAGTTTGTAAGTCGGGAGATACCTGTATTGGCTAAAGTAAAAAAACACATAATTTTATTACAATAATTAAAAATACTGTAATATTAACTATTAACATCAAAAAAAAATACTGTATCAGCTTAATATAATTTGTAACTACTTAAATAATTCTCAAGCAACATTTGAAAAATTACATCTATTCTTTTAAATTTCATTTTTTTTGTTGTAAATTTGTTGATATTAAATAACAATTGACAATTATTTATATATGTTTTTCTTCTTTATATTACCTTAATATTTGTCATAATAAATAAACATTTAATTGTTGTTAGACAATATTTGTTTTTGAAATTATTTCTACTCATCTTCTGTTCTCTTCATTTTATATACAAATAATTAAAGCTCCATCATTCTCCAGCCAAATGATGCCACAGAATTTATTATTTGTTTCGTTTCGAGAAGATTTACGTTTATTTGGTTTAATTTATAATTTTATCTTTTTTATATTTACATACATACGTCTTACTTTTTTTGTATGATTTATTGTGACAATTTATATTTTTTGTGTCTCTGGGCGGAAAGAGTGTGGTACCATTATAAATAATAATTATTATTATTTGTTTTTCATCTATTTTGTTATTATTATAAAACAAGAAGTTTTTTTGCAATGCAAAAAATTAAATACTAATATATTTTTGAGATAATTTAAAGAAACGTATGCATTGAAATTAATAGAATGAAACATAATATAAAATAAAAACAATCCCTTAGATCAATAGTCCTGTGCACCAGTCATTTTTTGTATGAAAATGTTTAATTATGTTTGTTTGATTGTTGCAATAAAGGATATTATTATTCACAATAATCACAATGTTTAATAAACAATTGAATGATAAATTATTATAGATTAAATACTTTAAATATATTTTTCTAATATTTGTTTCTTAAAAATATACATTTAATTTTCTTTTAATGTAAAAAAAAATATGTACATATTTTTCTGTTTTTAAGTAGAAAAAAGGAACAAAACATTTGTAAGTATTTAATTTTATTGCTACCAATATATTCGCCTTCTCCGAAAATCATTATACCTGCAACCAAAGGTTCTAGACGGTTTCATAATCAACAAAATCAGTAGCGTAACAATCGGGGTTGAAACGTGATGTAAAAAAATATGTTTTTTTTTAATCATTGACATTAGGAAACTATGTTTAACCCTTCAATGTCCTAAGTTCCAAATTTGATATCGAATTTTTAAATCAAATTGTACACTTGCAATTGGTTTGTTTTTAATATTTGGGTGTACAGTGGAACCTCGCATAACGAGCATTTCTCTTAACGAGCAAAATGAATTGTAAGAAAATATATTCGCCTTCTCCGAAAATCATTATACCTGCAACCAAAGGTTCTAAAAGGTTTCATAATCAACAAAATCAGTAGCGTAACAACCGGGGTTGAAACGTGATGTAAAAAAATATGTTTTTTTTTTTAATTATTGGCATTAGGAAACTATGTTTAACCCTTCAATGTCCTAAGTTCCAAATTTGATACCGAATTTTTAAATCAAATTGTACACTTGCAATTGGTTTGTTTTTAATATTTGGGTGTACAGTGGAACCTCGCATAACGAGCATTTCTCTTAACGAGCAAAATGAATTGTAAGAAAATATATTTGCCTTCTCCGAAAATCATTATACCTGCAACCAAAGGTCCTAAACGGTTTCATAATCAACAAAATCAGTAGCGTAACAATCGGGGTTGAAACGTGATGTAAAAAAATATGTTTTTTTTTTAATTATTGGCATTAGGAAACTATGTTTAACCCTTCAATGTCCTAAGTTCCAAATTTGATACCGAACTTTTAAATCAAATTGTTCACTTGCAATTGGTTTGTTTTCAATATTTGGGTATACAGTGGAACCTTGCTTAACGAGCATTTCGCTTAACGAGTAAAATGAATTGTAAGAAAAATGACTCGCTTAACGAGAGACGGTTCGCATAACGAGTGACGATGAGAAGATAAGTCCCGGATTGCGCGCCTGCTACATAATTTTTAAAACTTCTGTACACATATTATGCGTATTTTTGAATATGTTTGACTATACGAGTAAAAATCCTGAAATTTTCGAACGGATTCAACTCGTTAAGTGAGGTTCCACTGTATGTATGTTACCATTACATGAACAAAAGTTATATATAAAATATGTATTGTAATTTTTTTTGTATTATTTTTCACTTTATCTGGTTATTGCAATAGATACATTGATATTTAATAAAATTTAATTTGGAAAATCAGCCTTTAACAAAAAGCATAGATTTTTTGGGTACGCCACTGTTCGAAATCTTCAAATAATTTTTGCCCTCAGTACAATAAAATGTTTCTTTTTCCACTAAGTAATTTATATTTTCTGTAGAAGTATATGTAATACCAAAAATTGTTTATTACTTTAACGGCTTCTAGTAACAATTTATGGAAATTTTTAAACGAAAATCTGGTCGTCGACCATATTTTTTTTCCTGTATAAAAGATACACTGATGGCGTATTAATTTCTGTCGTTAAAACGCAGCTAAATCTGCAAACGATTTTCCCAGTTGGAATTGCAATATACCAAGAAACAAAAAAGATAAAATATTTTCTTTTACTTAGATTAAAAGAAGATATTTGTTTTTTTTGTAAGAAACAATTAATGTGTCTTATGAGTTTTTCATCCCTAACTAATTGTAAACATAATATATATATATTTTTTTAATTTTATGCATTATTTGTATTTTTGTTGTTTTATTTTCATGCAATCATAATACACTGGAACCTCGTTCAACGAGCAAAATGAATTGTAAGAAAGATGACTCGCTTAACGAACGACGTTTCGCATAACGAGTGACGATGAGAAGTCCCGGATTACGTGCCTGCTACATCATTTTTAAAACTTGTACACACATATTATGAGTATTTTTGAATATGTTTCACTATACGAGTAAAAATCCTGAAATTTTGGAACGCATTAAACTCGTTAATCGAGGTTCCACTGTATTATATTTATTTACATTTTGTTTCTACTATGAATTAATTGATAAAAATGTTCTGTTATCAATGAAACTACATATGAAGTTATTCATTCATTCATAAATATGTATTATTAACATTTAAGAATGATGATGAAACATTGCGGATATCTATTGTTGGCCGAGCTAAGAGTACTAGGAACACGAAAGAATGCAGATTTTATGCAATATGCAAATCATGACTGTTTTTAGATTCGCGTATTCTTAGATATTTGAATTGTCCATTGTGTTAAGGAAAAAAAAGACGTACGTACAGATGTTTGTTTACTATTCAGAGATATAACGTAAAGAATATTATGCATACGAAAAATTGATTTTACTTAGGTGAAATAGCTGTAAATGTTATATTCATTTAGACAAGACAAATACAATAATTAATATATTACATAATTATTATTTATTTAATGAAACATTCAATTAAATAATATACACTAAGGAAAATAATTTTAATTGTAAGTTGAGTACAAAATATTAAAAAAAAAATGTTATTAATTTACAAGATTCAGACAATTTCATAAAATTGTCGAGGGCCCTAGGCATCAGAGCCTAGATGCATTTTTAGATCGTGGTACTTAGGGGTCTATATCGAAATCCCAACAACCGAAATCCCGACATTCAAAATCCCGACAGTATCAAAATCCCGACAACTATAATTCTGACTGTATCAAAAAGCACGCAGGTTAGTTGAGTCACAACAAATCACAAATATTATATATATTTTATATTATGATTGAGATTTTTAAAAAAAATATTATACCAAAAGTTTAGATACTGTCAGGATTTTGGTTGTTTGGATTTCGGTCCTTAGACATTGTTGGTCCAACAATAGATTTTGCATTAGTAAAAATAAATGGAACAACACTGTTATAACAACTAATGACTCATATATTGTAGATAACATTTTTAGGTTAATTAAATTATTTTGTATTAACTTCATTGCAACATAATAAATATATTCGTGCGAAGACTAGCAAATTATCAATATTTTAGCAAAACTATTAT